GTGGTCTTACATCTTGTTAGTCCAACTAGAACATTCCAGCAAAGTGCTGAAGAGTACCACAAGCAGTTTATTCTTAAATAGTGAGAGCATGATGTCGGCCATAATGGAAGAAAGGAGGAAGAAATGTTGATGAGGTCAGCAGATGATGAATTCAAGCCCAGGTATTGCTGGTCCTTTTCTTCCTTCCAAAAGCACCACGATTTTCTTCTTCCCTGTTAGCCAACATTCAAATCAAGATGACTCTAAGCCATTATGCTCAGCCCCTTTCCTGGCCAGAGAGCACAGAGAACACATGTTCTCTGTCGGAGAACACATAGGAATTTGATCCCTAATTACAGCCCGTGAAACCTGAGGGAAAGGTTGGTGAGGGTCCAAGAAAGGTCCCTCTGCTGTCTGTGCTGCCTCTGCATGTCACCATAGGGGCAAGACGCCTGGAACCTTCCCGGCCATCACAGGACCTTGAGAACAAGATGGGGAAAAAAATCTGGATCTTTTGTTGATGGTGCCAGGGTTGGAGCCCAGGGCTTCACACAAGCAAGGTAAATGCTCTACCTCTGAGGGACGTCCTTGGCCAAGAATCTGGGCCTTTGATGATGCTGTGGGACCCCTAATAGCAGCAAGCCTGGGCTAGACTCGGCCCAGACCTCTTGTCATGGGGACCCTGTGCCCTACTGTTTCAACCAGGTGAGCTCAATTCCTCTGCTCCTTGTAGCCCTCGTGAACGTACTCCAGTTAAGACTCTTGTCTCTACAGACATAGGAACCAAGCATTCAGGGAAATACGCAAAGGCTGAAAGTCCCAGCCATGACCCTCACGGTGCCTATTCCAAGAGGGGCCCTTCAGACCCAGACTCTCCCCGTGCTCATTGGTTCTAAAGGACACGTTCGCAGGAGGCATCATCCTTGCCTTGACTAAGCCTCCAGGTGAGCCTCACCTTTGCCTGTGCTCTCAAATATATTGAACAGGTTCTCCGCGCCCCCACCCCCCCCCACCTCTGAGGAACAAGGAAAAAGGTCCTTGGATCTGGCCCAGAGAGATCACCCAGCAAAACTCTGCATTCCTGAATATTTGTTCTTTGAAATGTCTTTCTCAATTAGATCTCACCCAAATGTTGGAGATTCAGGCTGAATTCCAGCTCCCAGCTCCACACAGACATGTGAAGCCTGCATAATTACCACAGCCAGCTTTATTTGCTATAAAAACATGGATTTTTTTTGCTCCTTCTCCACTGTAAAATAATCAATAAATAGAATCCAGATGAAAAATACCAGCGTTTAGGCGAACAACTCTTTTATGGTTCTTTTCTTTAGGGCCTAATTAATACATTGGGGATAAAAAGCGCTGTTACATTGACCCCACCAGCTACATTGAAATACAAACTCTCCCTCTCCCTGACCGAGATACAGTTTCACATCAGAAGAGGAGAAGAAACAGATAGACAGACCGAGTTTCAAAACATTTTGAAATGTTCAACAAACAGATCTGTAAATCCGGATTGTATAATTCTTTCAAGACTGTTCGCACTAGCTATTCAATTTTTTTACCCCTCTCCCCAAAAGACACCAAGAGCTAGAGAGAGAGAGAGCCACAGGGAGGGACCTTGCCCTGCACACCATCGGATCTGGTCCCCCGAGCACCACTAGGAGTGATCCCTAAGTGCAGAGACAGGAGTAAAGTGTGAGCACAGCCAGATATGACCCAAACACACACACACACACACACACACACACACACACATATTAAATCTGTGAGGTCATCAGGACACCTGGGCTGTGTAGAGAGGCTTTTACAGCCAAGCTGCCAGAATTCAGCCAGAGCTCCATTTACCCATCTGTAAAATGGGGCTGCCACGTATGTTAGGTCACCGTGAATGCTGGGATGGAAGAGACTCAGGGTGCCAGGGCACCAGTCTCTATGGAGACCTGGCAGGATGACAGCTGCCAGCACTCACCCGCTCCCCACCGCCATGCCCTAACTGGCAGGCGCTTCTCAGAGCGGTTCTCCAATGCCACATCTAAAGTCAGCCCACAGCTGCTTCCGGGTTACCCCTGGCAACCAAGAGCTGGGCTTCTGGAAGCCCACTGAATCTCCTGGCCTCAAAGCCATGTCTTTACAGCATTTTCACCTGAGAGCTTGGAACCCCAAAACAAGGATCCAGACCATATTTGTGAGAACATTCTGGGTCAGCACCTGTTCAGGTAGTGGCTATGGATTTGTCACCACTCACCAGCTGTGTGGTGTGTGTGTGTGTGTGTGTGTGTGTGATGTCAGAGGTAGAACTGGGGTACCACCACCTGACACATGCATTCTACCACTGAATCACATCCCTGATTTTACATTTTAGATTTTAAGCCCGCCCGCCTACCTGTTTCATTGCTGTGTTTCCCCAAAGCCTAGTCCAAAACTGGAACTCAAGAACCATTCTTGGAATATTTCTTGCACAATAAATGTCCTGCCCATAGGAGATCCAATACATTCACATATTTGAATGCTGTTAAAGCTTTGCATGGGGGCCTGGGGCAGGCGTTTGACTTGCATGCGGCTGACCCGAGTTCGACCCTGGCATCCCTGATGGCCCAAGAGCACCAACAGGAATAATGCCTGAGTGCAGAGCCAGAAGTAAGCCCTGAGTATCATCGGATGCGCAGAAAAAAAGAAAAAAAATTTAAGCTTTGACTGTAAAAGAGCAGAGAAAGTGCTGGAATCCCTGGGAACAATGAGAAAGCAGGAGAAGGAGAAGCAAAAGCCTGAACATTTCCTTCCCAGCTGGAGTCACAAACCTCAGAGTCTTTAACCTGGACCTAAATGCGGAGACATCTAGGGCCAGAATCCCAGCGCGACTTCTGCAAGCTGCCCCTGCTTCCTGCCCAAAGGCCAATTCCCAGCCAGGACTCTGCCATCAGGAGTTTTCCTGGCTGCTGAGCTCTCAAGCCTCATGGTCCACCCTACACACACACCCCTCCCCCGCCCCACCCCGCCCCCGCCAAATGGGCTGTCTCTCCAAGGCTCAATTCCATACCCTCCCTTCCCAGGGACTCCCCGGGGAGTCCTGCCCCCTTCGGCAATGTTTCACCCCAGGGCGCCTCGACATCTTTGATGTTTTGGCATCGTCGCGGGCCGGGAGGGAGCTGGATGCTCCCGGACCAGGTCCCGGACCTCAGTGTCGCCCGCAGCCTGGTCCTCCAAACGATTTCTCCTGGGAGCCAATCCCAGCACAGAACCTACCACCTACCAGAAGCATCCAGAAACCGGTCTTCTCATCTCACTCAGGCGGGGCCTGGCGCTTGCAAGGGCGTGCAGTGCCCGGGCTGGGAACACTCGCGGCGCGGAGAAAGTGGTGCGGTCAGCGGGATGCTAAGCACTGGAAGGAGCCGGGCCGGGAGCCCACGGACCTGGTGTGCGTGGCCGCCCGCCCGGAACCGGCGCTCCCAGCCTCCGTTCTCTTCTCGCGTTCTGGGAGTTGCTCTGCGCCGTGGAAGGACTAGGTGCAGACTGCAGTAGTGGACCTTGCTGGGCGCTCTGGCTACGCAAACAGTCTGTGAACCGCGCGGAACGCCAGTGCGTGCGGCGCACCGGGGAAGCGCGCCCCGAGAGCGCACGGCGGTGCGTGGGGGCGACCGTTCCAGCGCTCGAGGACCCCACCCAATCTGCAGAGGAGACCAGCCAGGCTCGCCTTTCCCAGGGCCGCACCCAGTCCCCGCTCTCCGCATCACGTCTTAGGTGAACCGCCTCGAACGCGGCGCTCCGGCGGCCGCAACGCTGAGCCCCGCTTCTCCGCGGGGGCGCGGGCAGGACCCTAGCCCCTAACCCGAGATGCGCCCGCTGAAACCGTCCCCCAACGCCTGCGCCCACGTGCGCCAGGCCCTGACGGGTCCGCTCCCCGGGTGCGCGGAGTAGGGGGTCCCGAAGCCGAACCACTTCGCAATATTTTGCTGGAGAACACGAGCACGCGAGTGGGGGTGAGACCAGCCTGGCCAGGACGACAGATCCCGAGCGGCGGCTTCAGGGCATGGAGCCCCGGAGTCCAAGCCCGGAGCAGGCGGCCACGGCTCGGGGCTGTGGGTATGACAGCGCCGGGGCGTCGCGCTCCGCGATTCAACACGGACCCGGGCCGGACCGGTCCCCCACGCGGACCCTGAAGCCTGAGAGGAACGATGGTGCTTGTTTTCACAATCGTGATGTATTGGAACGAGTTAGAAAATCAGTAAAGCACATGGCCCAGGGGATGATGACCGCGCGCGGCGGCGATCTGGGGCCGGGGATGACGACCACCGGCCACTTACTTCCCCGCGTGCGACGACCGCCCGTGGCAGGGCGAGAAGTTGGGAAGTTCGGGACCGAGCTGCAAACGCGCACTGGAACGTACTCGCTTCTCTTTGAAGTTCGGAACTGGGGGGAGAGGGGATCGCAGCCGGGGGCAGGAGGTCGGGGGTCGCAGTCCGGGAAGTCAGCCTCGGGGCTGTCCGGGGCCCCCGACTCGGCAGAAGAGGCGGGAGGAGAAGGAACGAGAGCCGCGTGTGCGTTCCGCCGCGTGCCTCCGAATCCCACGGACGCGCGTGGGACCGACCGGAGCTCGGGCTGCAGCGAGGGGGCACCCCGGCCACGACGGGGACTGAGCCGCGCCCGCAGGTTCCGCGCGGGGATCCGGCCAGCACCGTGGCCGGCGCGGCCAGCGGTGCAGTGCGCGCGGCCGGCGCGTCCCGGGCGGCCGGGGGGCGGGAGCACCCAGACTCGGGGGGCAGGGGTCTCCCAGGGACAACGCGCGCGAGCCGACTCTGCACTCCGCTTGGACCACCGGGCGGGCGCCGCCGAAGCCGGGGCGTCCTGCCCGAACCCCCTATCTTGGCATCCTCCCAAGTCCGGGAGTCGCCTCCTGTCCGCGCCAACTCGGTTCCTTCTGCAGCCGCGAGCCCGGCGGGGCGGCGGGGAGGCACCGGGTGGAAAGTTAAGCAGAGCCCCGGCCCCCTGCATCCCGCGGTCCGGACCCCTCCGACACCTACCTGCTTCCGCGGCCCGCCCCGGGCGCGGGGGGTCGGGCGATGGGTCCTGATGCGCGGGAACCGGAGCACGCAGCACCCGCAGCCAGCGGAGCGGGAGCGGCCAGCACCGAGCCCCGCGGCCAGCGGCGGGCGGACACAGCGCGCGGAGCAGGGAGCGGGGACTGGGAGCACGGTGCGGGGAGCAGAGCCGGCAGCGGGCGCCCCGCCCGCCCCAGCCCCAGCCTCGCCCCTCGCTCCTCCCCCGCGCCCGCCTCCCGCCGCGTCCCCGCCCGCCGCTCGCGGACCCGCCGCTCGCTCCGGGCGCTTCCAGCCTCTCTCGCTCGGGTTCCCGGAGCCGCTTTGCCGCACGCCCCGGATCCACCCGGTTCTCGCCGCCCTCACGCGGCCCGGGTTCCTCGCTTCTCTCCCGCATCCCCCTTTTCTCGGCTTCCCCTCCTTGTCACCCTTCCCCATCTCCTTTCTGAGCCGCACCGCCCCTCTCCCGCTAGCCCAGACCACCGCGCGGTCCGCCCAGCCTGGAGGGGGCTGAGTAGGGGGTGCTGGGAACTGAGGACAAAGAGGGACAGGTCAGGGACACTGAGACTTGGAAGCAAGGCTGGAGAGATCAGTACGGGGACCGGCAGGCGGGTAAAGAACTTGGAATTGGGGTCCCCAGACGGGATGAAAAAGTGGGGCTCAGACAACAGAGGACCAGGAGACTCAAGGCCAAGGTCCTCCGGGACCTGCAGCCCAGAACAGGCTCTTGTACCATCCAGGCAACCAGACCACCCTGCTAGGCTGTCAGCCTCCACCTGCCCTGAGCCCAATCAACCTCTGGGGACCCAGTGACCAGACACTGAAAACCACTTCTCCCCACCCCACTCCTCTGGCAGCCCTGGGGGACCTCCAGGCACTCCTGGTTGTCATGAGTGCAGGGGTCTCCCTTTGCATGTCTGTTTTCTCTCCTTTACCCCTCTAACTGCAAGAATAGGAAGACCCCACTGTAAGCACTCTGTGGGGGGTTTAACCCTCACCATCCTTCACAGCTGCCTTCAATCCAGGTCTTTCAGGCAAAGTTGCAGCCCTAGAGCAGGTCCTGGCCCTTCCCCACATCAGCCAGTCAAGGAGTTCTTTCTAAGAACTTGTTTCCTAGTTTTACTTCAAATTACTGGGGTCTGAGATTTTTCCCCTCTGTGCCATCCCAGCCAAAAGCATCACCTCCACCAACCAACCCCCGAGGGGAAAACTTTACTTTGAGAGAGTGGCAAAATGTCACATGAATACCGCAGCAGATGTCCCGCCTTGGACCTTGAATCTAATCAACACACCAGGACCTGGATCTCAGTCATGCCAGGAAACCAGAGAACATGGAATAAGGGCTTAGACAGAGAGGGACGCTGTGATACAGGAATTCTCCTGAGATCCCACACCTCACTGAGGAGCCTACCTGCCTCTCCCTGACCCTGTCCTGTGGTCACAGACAAGCTGGGTGGCCTTGATCGCTCACTGTCCCTCTCTGGCCTTCTGTTTTCTGGCCTGGCTCTAAAGAACCTGAAACAGCTGTGCCCGCAGGCCTCTGCCAACTCTGAGGGGCTGCATTGTTTGAGCATCATCAAGGCAAAGGCTGAAAAAATGAGCTGGAATGTTCAGGCTTTGTATCGCTGCTCTGCCTCTGTCTAACTGCCACACCAGGCAGCCCACTGCCTCTCCAAACTCAGCCTCCTGCAGGGCAAGGGGCTTAACCAGAATGGAAGCTTCTGGGGCTTCAAGCACTTGGCAACTGTCTGCCAGGAGCATGATGCACGGTAGGAGTTTACCTCTCCTCTTCATCTTCATGGTCCCTTTTGGAGTATGTGTTCCAACTGCCACCACACCTAGACCACACACCTCTGCTACTGGCTCAGGATGCACTCCTGGACCTGTGCTTAGGAATCACTCCTAGCAGGGTTCAGGGGATTAGATACAGTGCCAGGGATCCAACAGGACCATCTGCATCCATCTGCATGCAAGGCGAACACCTTCTCTGTTCTCTCTCTCTCTCTCTCTCTCTCACTCACACACACACACACTCCCACTCTATCTCTCCCTCTCTCTCTCTCTCTCTCACACACACACACACTCTCTCACACATACTCTCTGTTTCTCTCTCACACACACTCTCACACACACTCTCACAACTCTTTCTGACACACATTCTCTCTCATACACTCACACACACTCTCACACACATGCTCACACACACACACTCTCATACACACATACACACATACTCTCACACACACTCTCTCACACACACATTCTCATACACACATACTCTCTGTCTCTCACACACACTCACACACACACATTCTCTCTCACACACTCACACATATTCTCTCTCTCTCTCTTTCTCTCTCTCGTGCCCTCCAGCCCTCACCTCTGAATGGCACCCTGCATTGATAACTCCCACCTCAGTGCAGTCATATTTTGGCAGCTGGGCAGGCTTTCCCAAATGGCCATGGTGCCCCATCCACCGGGAAGCATTACCTTCCCCATCCGGCTCTCACACTTGTCCCCTGCCAGGCATGAGTGTGTGTCTGGGAGCTAGCTGGCCCGCTCCGTGCTTTGCTCGGGTTTGCCTGGTCGCCTGCCATACTCTAAAAAGCCACATGCTTCTATAAAGCTGCACCTTCTTCACCCAGATGGCAGGTCTCCAAGGACACATGTCCCCACAGAGCCAAGAACACTTTTAGCAAACATCTCTGAGGGTCATCGAGGGGGCAGGCTGATGGCAGCCTCTTGCCAGGCCCTCAGAGCCCGCTGGGAGAGCCTCTGCTTTGCACACCCACTGCTTCTTACACATCCAAGCCAGCAGCGACAAGTTTGCAGTGGAAGTTACGAGCACATCCCACACAGGGATGTCCATCTGAGGGTAGAATTATAGACAAGCGTTCACCCTGCTGAGCTCTCAGCCCTGCTCACAAGGAGCTGACATTCCTGCCGGGCACAGGGGCAGTAAGAGCAGAGGTGACTAGGGAGAGGACCCTGGGAGCAGACAGCCCAGTACAAGTCCTGCCTCTGTCCTTTGTTAGCAATGTGACCTAGAGTGGCTTATCTGGCCTCACTCACTGTTCCCATCTGTGAAGTGGGAGGATAATGGGGCCAGCACAGCCAGTGTCCCCATCTTATAGGGAGGAGACTGGGGCTCACAGAGAAGAATTGCCTGGAGTGAGTTTGGTCACACTCAGGGCAAGAAGAATCCGAGCAGAGGCAGACTCAAAGCCCTCGCCCCTCTCCTCGGACCCTTGATCCTTCGCCTCCAGGGCTACCAAGTTTTTTCTCCAAGGAAATAACACCTGCAGCTCGTCTCCATTTCTCCCCTCTATACCATTCCCCCGAACAGGGTTGGGAGGGTAGAAATTTAAACTCTGGGTAGCCAAACCCTCCTTGGTCAAAACCCTTATGTCCTTTGAAATAAACATTCAGAAGGGAACTGGGGCGCTAGCTTGAGAGACAGGGTGATTGCCTGGCACGTGAGGGCCTTGAGTTCAACACCCAGGACTGTGTGGCCCCCAAGTACTGCCAGTTGTATCCCTAGTGGCCCCTCTCCATAGCCCCTGGCTTCATGGGACGAACCCTGACCTCTTAAAAATATATAGGGGCAGGGGCCAGAGATATAGTCCAGAGGGTAGGGCATTTGCCTTGTATATAGCTGAATTGGGTGTGTTCCCTGGCATCCCATATGGTCCCCCAAGCACCAACAGGAGTAGTTCCTAAGTGCAGAGCCTGAAGTAAGCCCTGAGCACTGCCAGTTATGACACACACAAAAAAAGAAGAAGCAGAAGCAGAAGCAGAAGCAGAAGAAGAAGAAGAAGAAGAAGAAGAAGAAGAAGAAGAAGAAGAAGGAGGAGGAAAGAAAGCCAAAATAAATCTACATGTTATATATGTATATACATATATATGTATGTATATGTATATATGTGTGTATATATGCATTGTAGCACTGTCTTCCCATTGTTCATCAATTTACTCGAGCGGACCCAGTAACGTCTCCATTGTGAGACTTGTTACTGTTTTTGGCATATCGAATACATCATAGGTAGCTTTCCAGGCTTTGCTGTGCGGGCAAGATACTCTCGGTAGTTTGCCGGGCTCTCTGAGAGGGGTGGAGGAATTGAACCTGGGCCAACCAGGTCAGCAGCCACAAGGCAAATGCCCTACCCACTATGCTATCGCTCCATATATATGTATATATATACGTATATATACATATATATGAGCTGGAGTCATAGTATAGGGGGTAGGGCAATTGCCTTGCATGCATCTGACCCAGGTTCTATCCCCTGGCATCCCATCTGGTCCCCCAAGCCTGTCAGGAGTAATTCCTGAGTGCAGAGCCAGGGGTAAGGTCTGAGCACCATTGAGTGTGGCCCATAAGACCAATATATATAAAATAAAATGTCTTGCTCTATTTCATATGACAAAGCAGTTTCACTTTTTGGTATCTACCCCCAATAGCCTAAAAGACTCTATTCCAAGAAGACATTTGTACATCTACGTTCATTGCCGCACTATTTACAATCGTCAAAATCTGGAAACAATCCACGTGTCCAAGAACAGACAAGTGGATAAAGAAACCGTAGTTCATATACACAATGGCATATTCCTCAATTATAAAAAAAGATGAAATCATGCAAGTTGCCACCGCATGTGTAGAATTAGACGGTATCATGCTGAATGAGGGCAGTCAGAGGGAGAGGGACAGATACAGACGAATCACTCCCCCATATGGAAAAGAAAGAAGCACAGTAAGGGAATAACCAATGGCCAAAGGCAACATACACAGAACTGGCCCACAAAATTGAGCCTCCATTGAAGGGTAAGGGTGGTGGAGAGTGGGGAGCCTCTGAGCTAATGGTGTGGGGTGTATGGTTGGAACGTTGTGTGCATGAAACCCTATCACTAACATTACTGTAAATCATGGTGCCTCAGGATTGAAAATGAAATATTTAAAAATCGACTTGCTCTAAATAATTTTAGTCTCCGAAGACTAGGTCAGGACAAATGTCAGGGGCTCAGTCTTCGCCACCAACCCCACACTTTCGCTTCACCCGGGTCCACAGGAATACCTTTCCCCTCCTCTTTCACACGACTGCCACCAAGCCCCAGGGAAGGATCTCCCACAGGAAGACTGTGGGGGATGACTAGGATCTCTTGAGTACTGGAAAGATTTCAGAACTTGTAGGATCTTTAGAACTTGCATGAAACC